TTGGGTGAGTAAGCAAAATTTTACTTAAAAAGCTTCAAAACAAGAAGGATCTGTTGCATTGCAAGTACTATATACTGTACATATACACAAAAATAGAATGAAAAACTATTTATGAAGGCATGATTCTTCTCAGCTTTATTATTGTTTCTGATTAAAACTACAAACAAAGTATTTGTATAGCTAAGCCATTATACTAAGTCTTATCAGTGCAGTTTCTTTTTAAGAAACCCCTGAAAATGGTTTTTAAAAAAGGTCTACCGTTGCAATTTACTACTAAAGCCTACCATATAGATGTCCACCCAAATTTCATATTAAAAATTTTGCACCCCTGATCTGCGTGACAAATCGTGTACTGTTAAAGGATTTGCAGGCAAATTTGCCTGCAAATTTTTGATCAAAATTGTTTTTAATACATAAATAATAATGGACCCCATTCTTATTACGTACTGGGAAAACTACTTGCAAAAGCTTTTAGCCAATATCATTTTTATCTAATTTTATTAATTCACCTTTTTATTTTCATCTTCGGGTAGCAGAAATAACCCCTGCAAAAGTCATATGAATCCATATCAAAGCAGTTACCGGATGTGACACTTAGCCTGTCGGGTTGAGCTAAAATAACTGATCTGACTAAATAACACAACTATGATTTGATGATATAATTAATATTTGTAAATTTTGCAAGGTCAAAAAATATGCAATCATTGGATAATTTTTTGCAGGAAAAATTTTCCTGGATCAGTAAATCGTTAAAGGGATAAAATACAATTTAAAGTTAGGTAAGAGTTAGCTTTAGGGTTAGAATAATTTTTTGTTAAAACTCCAAAGTTGTTTTATGATCGAGATATCGACATATCCGTATACATACGCATATTGTACAGTACAAATAAAAATTGCCAACAAAATATTTGGTTTTTAGACATAACCCTGTTGATATCTTGCGTAGTAGTAATCAATATTATTAAAAGTCTGGTTAATTAGAAATAGACATTGTGGAGATTGCAAAAGAACCAGAAGAAAAGAAGCTAAAATGAGCAAGCAATAATCGACACTAATTTATAAATATATTCTACACTATGGACGAACTGATTAAATTCTGCAAATTGATGAATTTTATTTTAATGAGTAGAAATAAAAAGAGTATAAGATAAAAGGGGAAAGGCAACAAATCAAAACAATAATAATAAAAAGGAAAATAAAAAATCAAAATGAGTATAACTTATTTACCATCTGTTCTTTGGTAATTTTTCTTAGATAAAAAACAAATAGTGCTTATGTATAAAAATAATTTTTTTTACTGGAAGTGTTCATAAATCTTAAAAATTTAATATTTATCAGAATAAATTATGTTGTGCCTTTGGCTTTTTTTTAGCATACCATCTAAAGGTAACGAAAAATGTTCTATACTCATTAAACTCCTCAATACTTTTTTGTATCATTTCGTCATATTCTTCAGAAGTAATGTTCATGAATATAGATAGGGCAGGCTTTATTCCGACCATCCGAGTAATTATATTGTCTCTTCCCTGAAAATTTTTTTCAAAGTCAAATACGTATAAAAATAAATACCGGTAAATAAATACTTTAACAGAGAAAACATTCACCACTTCTCCTATCTTGCCAGCCCATGAACCAATTGGAACATCTTTTTTTTTGTGGTGGATCTAAATTAATAAAAAGGTTTGGAAACAATATTGCAACTGTTAATTTCGAAATTGACATTTACATTACAGATTAGTCTTTACGCTCAAAATTTATGACATACTAACATCATCAAAATATTGTGTGTTTTTCATTAATTTTCCAAGAATCTGAGCAACGTCCGGATTTCTTCCCTCCATTATAAGCATTTTTCTTCCTATTTTCATTGAATCGATTGTTAGTTAATGCCTGGATAAGTATATGAAGACAATTAAATGGAACTTACGAGCAGATAGCAGACTTTCCAATACCGGACCACAATTTTGACATAATTCGTATTCACATAGTTCTAACCAACCTCCAATTTTGATAACACGTACAACTTCCTAATTATAAATAGAGAAAATCATGAATGTCAGTTACGCTTTAAAGGAGAAGCATCTCAGATTGAAAGAACACGCACATTTATAACCATTTCTTCCCATTGTTGCTTTGTAAAAGATGGGAACATATATCGCTGCCGATTTTGAGATTTTTGATATTAAAATGTTTGAAATTTAAAACAACAATTGAGAAAAAAAACAATTGAAAAAAAAAACAATACCATATGTACAAAATCGAATGATTCATCAGGATGAGGGATTCCATTGAGGATATTCCCTTCTTTAAAAATGACATTATTAGGTTTGATTTCCGTTGGAAATATTGGTGAAACATCTATACCGACGAAAGTTGATTTATCATAATTAATCTGAAAATAAAGAATATTAGTTAAACCTTGGAAAGATAACCTGGAAATTTTTTTAATAATGACTAAAAATGTGGTACCGCCATCTCTATTGTCCACGTGCCTGGTCCACATCTTTATTTTATTTTCGTGATGATATTCGAATGATTTAACCTTTTAATTTGAATATAAGATATTTCAACGCGAGAAATTATAATTACCCAACATCCAGGACGTTACATCCTGCTTCTAATTGAGTGACTATCGGAGATGAGAAATTTGATTTCCTGTTATTTAAATGATTAGCAAAATGTTTATCATTTCTAATCTTTAGATTGATACCATGAGATGAGTTATTACCAAATGTCTCGTGTCAAAAAATGCTCCAAATGCAACCGGTCAACTTTTACGTGAGAGCGATAAAAATAGAACATTTTTTTTTTTTTTTTTAGTGAATAATTAAATCGTAACGTTCTTGAAATTAGTATGCACCTTCGATTTCGTCATTTGGCAAATCGTAAATAATGTCAGTTACATTATGAAATCTGCGACCCAGTAAATATCGAAATTGTTCATGGGCTTCACTACCCAGTGACTCATTAATAACAGGTATAACTCTTCCATTTTTCGAATTTTGCGAACCCATTCGTGTAGTATCGACAATAGAGACTTATTAAAACGACAATCTTTAAAAGGAATGTGAGGAAAAACAAAGTCGAAAATGCTGGTATATGTTAAGCTTTTTTTCCTTTCAACTAAATATAAATATTATCAAGTTCAAGTGATACACAGCATAAATACAATAAAACTCGCATAAGACAAATTAACTGGTAGACGTCTCTGAAGAAATTCATTTGATGCAAATAAAAAATTGATAAGTTAATTATGTAATATTTTAAAATGCATAAGATTATTTCTTGTTTGTTTACAAACGTAATAATACTACAGCTGTCATCAGAATAAGGCGCGCACGACTACGTAGTTCTTATCTTCTGTGAAATAAATTAGGCCATTGTTCCGAGATTAACCGAAACCAAAAAAATAATTACAGGTGGGTCGTAACTATAAAAAAACGGAAATTAGATAACAATATCCGATATGCTGTTATAGATAACTTATAGATAAGTAGAATTCGGATATTTAGATAAGATAAAATTTTAAATAAATATTTACCAATGAATAAGTTTATTGGTGTTACTATGATTTCTGTATGCACACGCATAATGATAAGTTCAATTTCCTTTTAATCAATCGATAAGCAACAAGTACGTATAAGTATAATGATATAATCATTTATATAATAGTGAAAAAAAATGCAACATCGAAACCTATATTATTACGGCTCCATAAGTTCTTATCATCCAACATTTAGATTGCATTTACAAACTGTCTCATATTTAGCGTTTTAAATTTGAGCAGATGTAACGGTAACGACAGTTGAAAATGTAAATTCAAAATTTTAAACGCCGGTAAACCAGTTATTAAAATACAAATTTCACATAATAACTACGTTATCAGTGTTTCGAATTCTAAAAAAGCTACCGCGCTTTCTTGACACTTGAAACACTACTGGTATCATTGGTTGAATTTTTGCGCTTAAAGTCAACCAATAAAATCGCATTCTGCAATGTCACAGTTAACTATTAATTATTATTATATCTTGCATGCTTTATCTAAACCAACTTTCCGGAAATCCCCGATTATGGGCCAGTACGCGTATCGGGGATTTTTTGTTTTTGACGGGAATAATAATACAGTAAAGAAAACAATAACCTACATTTAGGATCGAAATCAGAACCATTAATAGATCGATTAAAGGTGGGTTTTAATTTTAGAGATTGAAACCGTTAAATCGTTAACCGATTAACCGGTCAACGTCTGATTAATAGGTCATAAAAACAATATGTCTTTGTTGTAAGTAGGATGGACAATTATACGATACCGTATAATACTGTAATAAAAAGAGTATAATAATCGTGTAATTAGTATAGTATAATTATTAAATTTCCGTATAATTGGTATATTTTAGTGTAACAAAGCCAATAGACATCTAGATGAAAGTTTCATAGGAATAAGCGAGCACGCGACAAATCTATATGTACGTACTTTCTAGGTACAGCATTATATATAATTACTGTATACGGTAAAATAACCTGGTATTTACCGTATTTCTGCGACATGTGTACCCCCCTTGTGGGCTGTATCCTGCGGATGCCGAATCTTGATTTATACCCGAGTATATAAGTATGAGGATATCATACTTATATACCCGGGCATTTAATAGTAAAACATATTAAATACATAGAAGTATTCATACGATGTATCCCCCCACACGAGTACATAATATGAGCTAGAGGAATACCCCGGGTACACATGTCGCAGAAATACGGTATACCCAAATTTATTACTGTATAACTCTTTGTAAATAAATGAAAGGTATCTTCTCAAGTATATAGTTGATTTGACGAGTCGCTCTTGGAGAAAGTTGACTGGTATGTTACTAGGTACTATTATTATTCGGATAGGGTTAATTATCTGTAAGCGCTAAACATAAAAATTGATCCATCTGCATAATTTCATTTAACTGACGTCATTTAGGATATACACCTACTCTCATTAACAGTTTAATTATCCACACCTACTCTCATTAACAGTTTAATAATCCACATCTACTCTCATTAACAGTTTAATAATCCACATCTATTCTCATTAACAGTTTAATAATCTACACCTACTCTTATTAACAATTTAATCCTAAATTCTAGCCTACCTCAAAAAAAAAAAAAAAATCCTAAAAATCTAAAATTTTATGTTAAAAAATAGATATGTGGTGATGCTAAACGGTTTTTCTGAAATTTATCTTAGACTAGCTAATTACAATTGTTTTCATAAATTTTTGGGCAACCGGAAAATTTTCGATGACCGAATCAATAAGTTAAGAAGTTGAAATCAATAAGTCATCGATGTCAGCCTAAATCAGAAACTTATCGATTCAGTCTTGAGCAATTTTTCCATTCATCCCAAAATTTATGAAAACAGACGTAATGGCTCAGCTTATTACAGTTCAGCTTACTACGGCTCAGCTAACTAACGACTTGGCCTGTATTGCATGGAGCCGATTTAGAGCCCTACGCCAATCATAAAGTCTCAGGTTAACTGGCAGAGTTATAAGTTTGGCGGGTCTTTGACTTTGTCGGAATTAAAATTAGTGAAATTTTAATAGATATCTATATTATGCCATACAAACTTAATAAATAGGTTCTCATAACATAAAATTTTTGAAAGTGACCCGGCAACCCGGCTTTTAATTTTATTTTCAAAAATTTTATATATAAAAAACATATAAAATTTTTTATTAATTTTTTAGAAAACCCACCCGGATAGTAAATGGGAACCCCCACAGCAAAAGGGTGCAATGAGCCAAAAAAATTTTTTTTCCTAAACTCAATTTTTTGAAGAATTAGAACAATCAGCTTCCAATTTTTATAAAATTACACATTTAAAATTTTTGGCCCATTGCACCCTTTTGCTGTGGGGGTTCCCAAATAGACAAAAATTTTTTTAAAGTTTTGTAAAATTTGACACGGCCGGGTTACGAGAACCGATTTAGTAAGTTTGTATGGCCTTAACTAAAGATGAATTTAGCAAGTTATAGCCGCGGTTCTTGTTAGCTTTGCTAAAGAACTGCTCTGTTAAAAAGCAGCTCGACTCCACTATAGAGAGCAGCTAGTCGAGTAGAGCCAGTCATCACTAAAAATAGATCCAAATTTAGCATTAACTAATTTTAACATCAGCTGTAATTAGCACTGCATAAAGTATTGGGGTGTATCCAGGGTTGGCACATTTATCCATTGGGCCAATGGAGTAGACCTCCATTGACATTGCTCCATTGCTCCATTGAGAATAATTTGTCAATGGAGCCAATGGAGTCCAATAAAATACTATACATATTTCAGTATTTTAAATTATAATATCTCATGATCTAGTGATCAATCAAAATCGAATGATACAAAATCATTCGATTCTGATCACTAGGGACCAATTATGGCGCACACGTGCTAACTCGTGATAACTAATGATCTAGTAATCGGAATCAGACGATTTTGGTACCATTCAATTCGTATCAACGAGACGAATCGAATGGTACCAAAATTGTTCAATTATGATTAATAGATACCAAGATACGTTCAATTAAAGATTAATTTTTACTAAGTTAAAAAATTAACTTTAACAAGCTATTGATGACTTTTTTGCTAAGTAAATTGATCTTCATTATTAAGACAATTATGTTTGTGTAATAAATTCTACTTACCTCTAAATTTTCATAACAATCAGATAATTTTTTATTAATTGGCATTTATAAATATGATTCTATACTAAAAGGATGTATTATGGTGCAAAAAGTTTTTTACAAATGTCAATTAATAAAAATTATCCGATTTAAATGAAAATTTAGAAGTAATTAGAATTTATTATGATAAACAAAATTGTCTTGATAATAAAGAAGATCGATTTACTTAATAAAAAATCTGCTATTAATGTATTACGATTTTTCTTATTAAAATTTATAAATAAAAATTTGTTAATTTTATTTAAATAATGGTATCTCGTGATCCAGTGAGCAGAATCAGATGATTTTACCACCATTCGATTCGCCTCGATGAGACGAATTGAATGGTAGTAAAATCATCTGATCCTGATCACTGGATCACGAGATATCATTTGTGCATCATAATACCTATACTTACCTTATGTATTATATATTTTATATTTTAATTTATAAAATTTCTGATAATTGTTGATCTACTGACTCATTTTGGATGAATTAACTACCAAAATATTCTTCTTAGTGAGAGGATTCTAAATAAGTCAAAATCATTAAAATCCAATTACAGGATCCCAAGATCACTTAATTTTGTGTAATTTTATAAGATCTTATTAAAATTACACAACACTTGAGTGATCTTGGGATTCTGTAATTGGATTTTAGCAATTTTGATTTTGCTAGAATCCTCTCATTAAGATGAACATTTTGGTAGTTAATTCATCCAAAATGAATTAGTGGATCAAAAGTTATTAGTGATTATATAAACTAGAATATACTTACTATAATAATAAATATGATTGGTTGGTTTAATGAAGTTAATGGAGCCAATAGAGTCAATAGATACTATTCTATTCACTTAATTGGCTTCATTGATAATTTTCCAAATAAACCTTATCCATTGCCAACCCTGGGTATATCCTATCGGTTAATTTATAAACATAGTGCAGATGATATAGTAATAATCACTAATAAAGATTTTTATAATTAAATTTTTGGATCTGTACTCTATATTAAATGATTATAAAAAAAGGCTTTACTTTGCCTTTAATTCTTCTCATAATACTTGTTATTTTTTAATTCTATAAAAGTAAGATGTTTAATAAAAGTTGTTTTTTTTATAGTAATAATATTAGAATTTTATTTTATTAATTAAAATAGATTTTTTTTTATGGTTAAATAGTTTGGATTAAAAAGTCATGTGATAGATTTTTTATATTACACATAAAAAATAATGGCAAAAAACTACTGATAAAAATTTTACTTCATTACAATATTATAATTATAAAACAAAAATTAATATAAAAATAAAATCAAGCTAA